TTTTTTTAATTACTTTCGTTGAATCACAGCTATATTCACTGCTTATTAAACTATATAGGCTTTGTCAAAGTTCTACCTCTATTAAACTACGGCCTCTTTAATTTTCGACCTCCATTGAACTAACATCTACTGAACCACAGCTCTATCAAACTAAGGCCTTTGTTGAACCAAGATCTCAGTGGAACTAAGGTCTCTATTTAACTAAGGACTCCATTGAACCAAGAACTCTATTGAACTAAAGTCTCTATTGAACCAAGATCTCTTTTGAGCCACGAGCTTTATTGAACTTATATCTCTATTGAACCAAGATCTCCTTTAAACCAAGATCTTTATTGAACCAAGATCTCTATTGAACCAAGATCTCTATTGAACCAAGATCTCTATTGAACCACGATCTCTATTGATCCACGATCTCTATTGAACCAAGATCTCTATTGAACCTGGATCTCAATTGAACAAAGCGCGACGGGATATTGAACCGAGAGTTACAGGATCCCCCCGAAGCACTGCCTTCTGGGTCCCTCATCTTGCTCTTCCGGCACCACAAGCTTTAATCCCAATTAATTAGAAAAAAATCCGACTTCTTGTCCAAGTTGAAGTTGAAGTCTGCAAGTCTGGAAGTTGAATTCACCGCAGGTTGGAAGTTGACAGGCCGGAAGGTTCGGCAACAACGCGACTCCTAAACACTCTGTGTAAAAAAAATGGTCTGAAGCGATGCTCGCGCCGATCAAGTATGGCAGTTTTATCAAGATTGTCGCATCTCTCTTAATGAAGACCGACGCTGAGTGGATGCCGTGGTCAGCAGCAGCCTCAAGAAATGCGTGGTAGGAACAGGTGAAGAATTGCTTGCATAATGAGTGTGAGGAATAATTTGAATGCGCTACTAGCTTATAATGTATTTTGGATTGGTAAATACAATCAGAGATGCGTGAAAGGCCTAGAATATATAAAAATAAATGTCTACTTGGATGCCCTACTTGATACTTAATATTCAACGGCTATTGATCGATAAATAGTGTGTCATATTGTCGGCAACGGAGTGACTCAACCTTATCCTGTCATAAAATTCGCTTTATTCTCTAGCGTTTTTTTTTTGTCTATAAAGTCGGGCCTTATCAGAAAACACTTACTGTTCGCATCAGTTATTACTCAACAAAAAATAATGTAAATGGAATGAAAAATTAATTAGTGGAGAAATAATTCTGTAGTGGAATCTAAATACTGGAAGCAGCTGGCACACCGTACGTACAAGCTTCAATTATCTTGATCCACGATGAATTCATCTGGCTTCAATTATCCTGTACTCTAAGTGCGGATCATGGAGCATTCGGAACAAGCAGCAGCTGGGACGCTGTGAACGCACAATATTCGAATATTCTGCACCGTTCCTAGAACATTTTGAAATAATTAATGGGAAAAATCTGGAAAAAGAAATGTAGGGATTTAGAAAATTCATTTAATTTTTGCAGATTTTGAATACCAGTGATACACGAAAACGGAAGGTTATTTTCCTGTAACGGCAAAACTTTGCTCGTTTGGTGCTCGTTTTCACCTGCTATATGGCAGTTTTCGTCCACCATTTGAATGCTAGCGGTTCTTCTTCTGCAGAAATATTAGCCTATATTATAGGTGTTCGCGTGACAGCAGTTAAAAATTGGCTAGTTCTATAGCCTTGTTGTTTTGGAAATGCAGAGTAATTGGTGCATAAACTATTGTCACCAAACGTCCGGGGCACGAGTAAATCTATAAAAGAGCCATTTCTCCTTCATTAATTTTGACCTAACTTTGCTTTTATTGTTATTGAGATATTTTTTACACGGTCATCGTCTATTGCAGGNAAAAGAAATGTAGGGATTTAGAAAATTCATTTAATTTTTGCAGATTTTGAATACCAGTGATACACGAAAACGGAAGGTTATTTTCCTGTAACGGCAAAACTTTGCTCGTTTGGTGCTCGTTTTCACCTGCTATATGGCAGTTTTCGTCCACCATTTGAATGCTAGCGGTTCTTCTTCTGCAGAAATATTAGCCTATATTATAGGTGTTCGCGTGACAGCAGTTAAAAATTGGCTAGTTCTATAGCCTTGTTGTTTTGGAAATGCAGAGTAATTGGCGCATAAACTATTGTCACCAAACGTCCGGGGCACGAGTAAATCTATAAAAGAGCCATTTCTCCTTCATTAATTTTGACCTAACTTTGCTTTTATTGTTATTGAGATATTTTTTACACGGTCATCGTCTATTGTATGATGTACGTACAGATGATCAACATCTAAACTCATATTGTTATGTGGTACGTATAGTGTGACTTTAAAACTAAAAAACATGCGCCCTAAGACATGCATTTATACTTGTATATGCTACACTCTCTTTTTGGTCGTACGATAATTCACTACATTGATATTGTACCATGAAGTTACAAAATATTCGCCATCCGGAACTGGTGGATGGTTTCATGAAATTGTCTTTCCTCTCCACTCAGCGTAATCCACTGAATTCGAAAGAGTTTTCTTAGTTTCTTTTTTATCTTTGCGCGATAAAATTACAAATCCGCCCTGCTAGAGGATTTACAACATTGCAATCCGCTCAAATCTCCCAAGAATTTGCGGTTTTTAAATTTTGTCATTCTATTCGTAACGACTGGCTTGATATCATCAGTACAGTGCAAAATGACCAGGAATTTACCGAAAGAAATGTTGTTACCTGAAATGTCAAGAAATGTCTCCTTCATCTCGTTACCTTCATCTCGTAGAACCATGCAGTTGAATGAATGAATGACATCAAGAGACTATAAGAGCAAGCATTATATTGCTACGCACACTACTTACCACAAAATTGTTTTTAGCACATTTTCTCATTTATGGAAAAAAATACACTATTGTGCTCGCCATGTCTGTCCGTCCGTCTGTCTGTCTGTCTGTCCGTCCGTCTGTCCGTGACCTCAAGTTTTCGTCGCCGAGAAAATGCGCTCTCTGTCACTCACTGCAGTGAGTACTGAGTTATATTTTTTTTCTCTAATGTTTGCCAAAACAAAATTTTCATTGGTAATCACGTCATACTGAATCCTGCAATCCTGAATCCTTTCATCCCAATCCCAGGAAATGATTTATGTTTCAAAGTACCATACTGTAGAAGCAAAACTCATTCAAATCTATATTTACCACGATAATCCAAATTTTTCCTAACTGACTTATGATGCGCAGCTGAAAAAAAAATATTCCCATTATATTATGCGATGAAATATAATCATATTCTTATATATTATATAAAAAATGCCGCTTTCTAGCTTCATGGCTACTAACGCAACAACGTCAGCAAACAAATATTCACGAATAATATGTATTTTTGTCATGGTTTGCGTCTTTGTGAGTATATGCATTTGAAGTCTATGGTGGCAGTTAGAGCGCTTCTCTACAATACTTTTTGTGTTGATATAAAGATACGAAATACTGCATGATATAAAAATGAAGAGGAAAATAGAATTGAAAAAAAATTAGATTTATACTTTGAAAAGTGCGCAGTTTATTCACAAATAAAAAGTTCATGTTTCTTCCAGAGTTCTTCAACGGGAGTTCCATAAACTTTATTATATAAATATGGTACTGAAAAAATGTCAAAATTATTATCTGGTTTCGAGATTATGGGCTTTGAGATGACGGATTTATAGTAACGTGATCAAAAATTCCTAATTGTATATCGCCTAGCTCTCCTGCTAGTATATACGATTGCTGAAATTCAAAAGTTTTTTTCCTAACTTTGAATGAATAAATGATATGGTCATTCGAAAAACAATCAATTCAAATTTATTAGATCATCAATTTGAATGAGTTATGCCATAATTTCTTTTAAATCTTCCTCACTTAGTTTACTACTCATTTATAAACATCAAAAAATTAGAATGTTAATGTTTAACAGACCATTTGATACCCCATCAGATCTACTTGAACCCTGCCAAACTGATCAAGTTTTTAATCCGAATATTTCCTGGCAGAAAAAGTTCATTGTACGCACGGCTATATAATAGAGTAAATTTCCCTCAGAAATGTGTTGATGCTTTGTTGCCAGCATTTTTTACATTTATTCTGCACGCAAACATTATTCACACAATGAGCTAAATATGATAAACAAAGGAAATTAAGTGCTCAATAACATAATTTACTGTAAACTATTTTTATTTAAAAAATAAATGTAGGCCGTACTAAACCTATGTTCTCCGGCCGTACTTAGTACCCGTCTGCGAAAAACTTAAATATCTGAAAGAAAATCGATTACTCTCTCCCTCCAATCTTGTACTGAACTCTCCTAAAAAAATATGCGTTACAATAATATCACAGGGCAACAAAATAAGCGTAAATGTGATCATTCATAGTTATACGAATACATTAATGTCTCGAATAACACAATCTGGTTTGCGAATACTCGTATAACACGGGTAAATAGCGAGCTCAATGAACACATCTCAAAAAATAACGCAAAATTAACAAACCTCAACTAAATTGAAACGCACCTTGACACGGTGGGTGCACAAACCGTATCGAGCGAATGGGACCGTCAAGGTGCAGGCTTCAGTTCCATTCTATCGAGTATGAAACACAAAATTCTACAATAGAATAATACTAAATGAAATGTTTTCTTGAGAGAATAACGGTTTGCATTTGTTGTTTTATTCTTGACACAATGATCATATGCATCATGCATTAATTGAAGCCAAACACGATTAATGACAGCGTACACAATATTATTGTTGCTTTTGACATACAACATAATTTATCATTTTTTGTTCGAGTTTGATGGCCCGGTTTTTTCCATAGACTAGAGCAAATTGTAACCATAGGAAAATTCAACGGTATTCATGTTTTCTCATATGTGAAATGAATCTGCTTCTAGATTCATTAATCTTATTGATATTTGTAAGTCAAATGTTAATCTAGAACATTACAAAGAATACTTTCACATAAAAGTTTAACATGTGTGGTAATGTCGCAAATTTCCATGACCAGGTGCGGACACTACTGAAGCGGAGTTGTCATTGCCTCACGGAGGAGCTGGAAAGCCGCGGCATCCTCCGTCTCCGTGACAACACGCACGCCAGGAGCAGGTACAGCATGTCCACAGTCCACACTATTGTGCCCGACACAAACGTTAACACTGGCGCTGTCAAACAGTTCCACAGCCACGATGCTGACACCCACTTTAACACTGAAGAGGTAAACAACAAACGTCGGTCAGATCTCCAGGCAACTTCCTGGCTCAACAAACAGAACCACTCGTCAGGTATCGATTTAAATCAAGCTGCCAAACTGAAGGAGGGAGCCATAACCGACACCATAATTGATGAGTTCGAAGGTCAATCCAATATTGAGAAAGTCTCTGGAAATTTATTTAGTGAAGAAATATCACAGCAAAGCCGAAATACCCCGTCGTTGTTAACTATCGAAGAAGTCAGTGCCAACGTTGATTCACAAGACGGTAAGGAATGGGCGAGGGAAAATTCTCCCACGGTGAGTGACGTTTCAAAAACTTCTAATAGGGAGACTTCTGTGAGTTACGTTAACCCAGCTGCAGATTAGGCAGGATTTACGAAAGCCATCCAGTGGAAAAGTTTTGATCGTTCGTCGGAAGGTCATTAAAATTGAAAGACGAGTGAAAAATTATGAAGGACTCTCTCGGAGTCGGGAACATTTAGAATTTCGAGTGCAGCCTTCAGATGATGGACAGCTTTATAATTTGGTCCATTCTGTACCCGTCATGCTTATGGTATCCGTTGGTGATGAATTTCACAATTAGTAGCTAGCGCATTATACTTTATTAAATAAAATAAAATGTATGAATCGTATCCGTCTTCACCAAATATTGTTAATCGAAAACTGTTCAATATTTTATGTGTTACGCATGTTGCGATCTGTTACTGAGAGTTGATTAATTAGTTATTTTAAACTATATTGAATTAGAGGATGAAATCTTTGTATTATTCTATTTATTACATTAAAATAATATGAATCACTCAATAGTTCATTCACGTTTCAGTGTATTGCAACTTAGAATAAGTCATAAATTATATGCGTGTCCCTTTGATTTATTAATTTTTGTCAACATTGTCAAAAATGAATAATAGTACGATATTTGTTCTGCGAGTAGACTACTCCATTCATAAAAAAGTGAGCGTTCATAGTCAGAATGTTTAGCTTATTAATGGCAGGGTTCATTGTTAGATTGCTTAGCATCTTGTACAATAGGTTGAGACGGAAATGAAAAACGTTCTTCGACTTTATGTCATAGTATATATAATTCGAGCATTTTATTGGCAATTTTTCTATGTTTACCAAGCACTTCCTGTTGTAAATATTGAAAGAATTTGCTAAAACAATACATCTTGTTAATTATTATAAGATATGAGGTATCATGATATCGTGTTGTGTACAGAATATCTCTTTGTTTTGTTTGGGTGTTTGTGTAAGTGGGAAATTTCAGTCTATCACGTGTCAATATTCGGAATGAATAGCCATCTCACCGTAATTTTTCCCGTGAACTGAGATATATAAGTTGCTTTCAGATCAAAAAATCATTCGAAAATCTGAAGCCGAATAATTGAAAATTTAGTGTACTTAAACTAATATCTTTCGGAGTGCCGGTCCATCATCAGTTCTAGAAAGGAACTCGATATGTCTAATAGATCCTCTGCAAACTTTGCATGAAAACTTCGTAGGACTTATTTTGCGTTATAATTTAAACTTGATGACAACAGGCTCAGTTTCGAGAAGTTTAAATAATTTTTTTCTGACTCGCATGTATATTATTGCTTAGACTAGACGTGAATTTACTGACTTAGGTACTTTTGTAAAATGTTTGCTTTGTGGGCGTAAAAGAAAGGTTCCCCAAACAATCTCAACTTGATTTAAAATGCTTATCCGTGAATAAATGTTATTTTGGAATAGAGTATTTGAACGCAATTGAAAATTAAAATTCATCAATATAGTGAGAACTTCGACCTGCGTTCAGTCATGTTTGTTGCCAATTACGTGTAATGAACCTAGTGGTTTTGATGTTAACGGAAGGAAGAGATAAGGAATGAATTTCGTTGGAAGTAACAAATAAATTTTGAGAGATGATGCTAAAACAATTTGACATAATTACACAGAAATCTCGTCATTAGGAAAGAGTTCTGAGCCATGTAATTCTGTGAGAGATGACCTCTTTAAGGAAAGTAAGCACAAGTCAGTAACAAATAAGGGCTCAGAATTTATCTAAACAATCTAAACGATCAATTAAATCTTGATCGTCAAAATAAATCCCATGGCAACTACGCTCCAAACTTCAGATGTCCAAGTATGAATAAGTGCTATTTCTTCATTGTGTGGATCAAAATTTAATTCTTGATGGATTGCAGAATCTATCAAAAAAAGTTCATCATTCTGGAAGTTTCAGTAGAGCCATCACATTTATTATTGGCCGATTGTAGGAACAGAATTATGATTCGATCTTGCTTCAATTTCCAAGTGTTTTGATGACTTCAAACTGTGGTTTATGTGGACTTTAAAAAATATTGAATTAGGTCTTGATGAATTATTTGAAATCGTTTGTGGTTAAACCCGGTTTGGGAAGATGTCTCCTAACAACAAAATGGAATTTCTGACAAAAAATGTTGTCATTTTATCCCCAATGTTTGTTAGTTTTATACAAAACGTACAACCACGAATCTTTTTGGGTTATATTATTGAAATGAATCGTCAATTTCTTTACAGTTAATGCTAGATTCGAACTTTGACTACCATCGCACTGTTATGAGTCCATGTGAAACTTGCGTTGCAAGCGATTTAAAGAAATATAAGCAAAGAAAGAATTATCCGTAAGCAAGAGCACGGCCCTTTCTAGTTGGTGCTTATCACAGCTCGTAGAGACCAATGCATTTCCATCGATGCGACGTTAATAAATAAACCTTATATACGCCATTGTCCAGTGTACCCACCTATTGCTTCGGAAAATGAAACTTGATTGTTAAGCTGTAAGCTCTTGGAATATAAATAAATTTATGATTTTTTTCTTTAGATAATTTTTTTTAATTTAGAAAGACTTGTACAAATCGGCCCAAGAATTTATTGTATTTAGCCCAAGTATCGTAAGGTATTCTTTTACTAGCGAATTAATTACCGGCGATCAATTTAAACAGAGGAACGGTCTGACATCAAGTATGCTTCTTCTATGCGCTGATGATGATTTTATGACAAGTATTCTCAAACCACATTCTGTTAATAGTATTATATATAACCTACTATTATTCTTGCACTATTATCATTTTATGACAGCATACTAGCAATGAATTCACGATCAGATAGAATTATATTTCAGCGAATTGCGTTTCGAAAAATTGATGAAAAGATTAAATATAAGGGAAGGTTCATGCTTCATCCCTGATGTGTAAAAAAATGTCGTTTCAAATAATGGTATTTGTAAATGATTGTTAAATGGTCGTGGTGAATGAATAAACCTAATTAAACCATTGATTTTTTAATCATAACCTTCTACAAGATGGTCGTTGCTCTAAAATATAATTTACTTTGGATCGAAGTGGCTAAGTAAGTTTGCTCTAATTTTTATTATTGAACACACATCATAACATTTTGGCACAATAATGGAATTCGACATGGATTGGTTAGGCTGGTGGCCGATTTTTGTACTTTTCGTGGCCTGTTCACAGAACTAAAATTTGGCCTGTAGACAAGTTATTTTTTCACCTGACGTTGGTTTTACATCACTCCTGTACTTTCGCTAGTTCAGTAAGGTGCTATTCATTTCAAGACTTCCCACATACTTTTGCATGGCGTTGTCTAATTTATTCTTGCTAGTGTTCATATTCGGAGCGTCAACAATATCAAAGAATATCATCAGAAAAGCTGTTCCACATGTCGGTGATTCGAAGCGAGAAGAAATCTTGTCGCATGGATGAATTGTGTTTTTAGCTTAGAACCGTGGCCCCTGGTGTTGGTTCTTGCTTCAAACCTTACTAATCCTTCTGGAACCTTGTTTAAGCCATGAGTATACTTCTATACTTCAATGAGGTCACCGCGCAGACGTCTATATACATATATATAACTGGCAGAGGTGGGCAGTAGCGCGCTACATATGTAGCGGTTGCGGTAGCGGCGCTACATTTAAGGCAATGTAGCGGTAGTGATAGCACGCGCTACATATTTAAGTAGCGATACGAGGTTTTGCCGCTACATCGCTACCGCTACATTTATAGATAAAGCCTTTAGATTTTACTTAATAGTATTAAATATTGTTTAAAAACCAGCATGATACATAATATAAATTACAGAATAAAACTGTACGAAATATTTCGGTGTAATGTTGTCAACCTCAGCCTGTTACTAGTGTCAATATGTTAGTTGTTACTTATAAAACATAAAAATAACTGTAAATTTTATTTACTGTATCTAACCCGTACTAGTTCGGTTAGGTTAATTGCAATAAAATTGCATTGATATGTTTTGAAAATGTTTTATTAGCATTAAATGTTTATGAGTAAATCCCAATAGCAGAACAATAAATATTTAGAGATTTCCAATAATTTTGGCCATTGTAGCGGCTAATGTAGCGGCGCTACATTTTACTGTAGCGGTAGCGGTAGCGCTCGCTACAGTCTAGTGGGCGTAGCGGTAGCGGTAGCGCCCGCTACATTTAGAGCATGTAACGGTAGCGATAGTGCCGCTACATTTCAAAGTAGCGCTGCCCAGCTCTGATCATAATCTTCATCTTCATTCATTAATCTTCATAATCTTTAATCTTTCTTCATAAAACTTGCACTTTAAGCCTGGTATTATCCTTTTTGCACGTCTTTCGACACTTTTGAACAAATTTCTGTCTTTTCAAGTATCGGTAACAACACGACGTTCACAAACTCTAGGCTCGGTCGCACGACAGCGACAAACAGCGACAGCTTCGTCGCTTCTGCATTTATAAACTCGTAAGATCGAGCGTCTTATCAGTCCTAACAGTTTATTGGACTTATTAACTAGCATTTCAATATGCCTAGAAAATTTCATCTACTTGTCGGCATAAACTCCAAAATCTTTTTCCAAGGTAGACTTTAGAATCATAACTCTCTCGTTGCAACCAATATTTTCATATTGTATAACTTTTGTTCATTGCTCTTTCCAAGGTGAAGTACTTTACAATTGTCAGCATTAAAATGCAACTGTCACGTATCAGCTCAGTCAACTAAACTATTAAGATCATCTAGCAGTTGCAGTTTGTTTGACGCGTCCTTCGCTGTATTATAAACTTTTGTGTCATCGGCTTACATAGAGCACACGCGTCTTGCCACTATATTTGTGGCACATTGTTTATAAAAGTAACGAACAAAACAGGCCCAAGAACGCTTCCTTGTGACACTCCACTGCGCACTGTTACCCAGTCTGATGTGGTTCCGTTAATACCGACCCGTTGTTGTTGGCCTACTAGAAAATCTCTGATCCATTGGAATAGATATCCATCTATTTCCAAATATTTCACCTTACGCAACAGCCGCTCGAGCGGAACACCGTAAAATGCCTTGGCAAAATTTAGGTGGGCTACACGGCATCCACTGAATCCTTTTGTCCAGCAGGCAAGTCCTGTCATTCAAAGTAGACAAGAGGTTAGTGGTACAAAATCGACAGGAAATAAAGCCCTGTTGACAGTCTGATAGGAGACGTCTAATAGGCAAGTGATTAATACTCCCTTCTCTAACAACCACCGAACTTGTGAGTCTAACAATGGCCCGTATGCTAAATAGGGCACTAGCACTACGAATTAGCACTACGCACTACAAGCCGTAGTGCCTACTATAGTGCGACATGAACACTACGGTTGGCATGCTAAATAGGGCACTAGCACTATGAAGTAGCACTACGCACTACAAGCTATAGTGCGGCATGGAACACTACGGTTGGTATGCTAAATAGGGCCAAAAGCATAAAGCGCACTCAAACACCGTAAAATGCCTTGGCAAAATTTAGGTGGGCTACACGGCATCCACTGAATCCTTTTGTCCAGCAGGCGAGTCCTGTCATTCAAAGTAGACAAGAGGTTAGTGGTACAAAATCGACAGGAAATAAAAGCCCTGTTGACAGTCTGATAGGAGACGTCTAATAGGCAAGTGATTAATACTCCCTTCTCTAACAACCACCTAACTTGTGAAGTTGTGAGTCTAACAATAAGATAGTTACCGGGGCTACTCTTGTCACTTTTTTGAACATTAATTGGTGTCACTTGGGCTTCTTTCCAATCGGCCGGCCAATTCCCTTCAAGGTTTTTTGAAAAGAATACTGTCAAAGGGCCAGACAGCACGTTTGCTAATTCTTTG